TTACATTTGACTAAGATTGCTTTGTTGAGTTTCTTCAAAATGTAGCCTTTTTCAGAAAAATGCCATGTGCCCAACGACATGTCACACTCTCCCCTATCTTCTACACAATACAATATTCTATTCTATTTTTCCATATTCTCTTTTCTCTCCAATTTTAATAATATAAAGTGCATATGTAATTTAATTTAATTGTTAAAGTTGTGTGACATGTCTTGACATTTTTGTCTCCATCACATTTATATGTATTCTCCAACTACCCACCTAATAGTAGTATAGTAGTTTATGAGTGAAGTGTGCTAGTGGAATTAAAGTTGGATAATATTTATAAAAAAAAAAACTATATTTTCCGCATATTAGCTAAGTGATAATTATAGCCAATATACGCTTTGTTTTATTAAGATTATATTAATATACATGTTCTTTTTCCTTGTAACAAAGAAAAAAACACATTTTTCCTTGAAAAGTTGAGTTTTTGTGCTACCTTACGCGTTCATCTACCTTCTCATTTTGTCAACATCTTTATAAGACAAATAAATGATTTTATTATGATTAAGAATATTTAAACAAAATCTTTATTGATTAATTATTATGAATACAATGTGAGAGCGTATTATCTACTAAAATTAATAATTATTGTAAATCGATTAAACCGTAGAGTGGATATCTAAATCAAGGTGATCAAGATCAACTTGATTAAAGGTGGTGATTGAATAATTAATTAAAAGGTTCAAAGGAAAGCCAATATGATCCAAAGAGAATTAAAAAAATTCAAAAGCGAAGGAGGTGGGAAAAGAGAAGAGATGAAGAGAAGAAGAATGAGATGTAATGTAATATTTATCCGCCGAAAGGTACAAAGGGACAGCCATCATCAAAATTTCTAATTACATTATCTGATATATCTATTTTCTATAAATATGGCCACAAAACCCCATAGGTTTTTAATTCAAAACTCGATCTCTCCTCCTTCTGTGTTAAACATTATTCTCTTATAGATAACTAAATTTTTCACAAGAAAAAAAAATACAAAAAAGTAATATATATATAAAATTTTAGTGTTTATCAACAAAAAGATAAGTGATGGACTAATACTATTCTTCTCTCCTCTCTCAAAAAGAGCTACTAATTACGAGAGAGTAAAAAAAAGTTCCAATAAGTAATTTATTTTTTAAAAGTAATCATTTTATTTTTCTTAGTACAACATGTGATTGTGGATTGTGGAGGAATTCAAACTCATGACCATCCTATCCAACTGGCTTTAATCTGTTCATTTTCATTTTCATCTTTTTGTTTTGCAAATAATTCTAGCATGCCACTTCAATTACTAATTTTTTTTTTTAAATGTAGCAATAAATTTGTATTAAAAGTTTTTTATTGTATATAAAATGTGTGTTAAAATTTTGCAAATAGAGATTAAAGTTATTCACTTTTAAAAAGTAGAGAGACTAAAATAAACATTTTAAAAATACAACGATCAAAACGAACAAAATTAGAACCACCCAGATGAAAATGAAATATTTTGAAAATAGAGATACCCAATAATATTGGAGAAGAGAAAAAGAAATAAATAAAGTAGACAGAGGGGTTATTGTTGTCCTTTTGTAAGAATTACTTTTTGGGTTGGTCAAGGGCATAGTGATAAACAGGGAAAAAGAAAAAGGGTTGCCTTGACCTTCTTTTATAAGTGTGTGGGTTTTGAAAATATATGTGGGTGAATTATGATCACTCATTGTTTTGGCTTTCTGTTTCTTCTTTTTTTCATTTGTTCCTTAATGTATCATCTTTTCCCTCTCACTTAGAAATAATCAAGGACAAAAAGTAACACCAAAAAGATCATAATCTCTACCTACATATATATATATATATATCATATCTATGTGTGTAGGAGAAGAAAAGCATCTTTGGTTTTAAGTGTTTTTTATAATTTATGCCTGTGATTCTCGTCCACACAAATCTAGGGTGTGTTTTGAGAGGTTGCTTTAAAATGTACTTTGCGTATAGATATTTATGTTCGGCTAAAAGAAATAGTAGTACTTGTTAAAGATGTATGGGATAAGTGTCTATCATCACATATTCTCTTTTGCTAATTACTTTCCACCAATATTTTCTTTCATTAATTTCTCAAGTACACACTCTCTCACACTAACTCCTCTCTCCATGTATGATATTCGATTTTTCACGTTTAATTACTTTTTCAATCCTAGAATTTTTTATTAAGTAAAATGTTAATGAAATTAAAAAACACATTTGTTAACAACCTATCAATCTAAGCTTTCAAGTTTCGATGGTGTTTAATATTCATAGGAAGATTAAGACTTCAACATTCTTACTGTATTGTTTACTAATATACTTTCATGAGTGTCCCGTACTAATCTTCACATTAGTTAAAACTTTTGATTCTCATTGGAATTAGCTTTCATAAATCAATTTAGACATAAATTATCAATTCTCTCTTGAATATATCAACCGTCATTGAAGGTCGCAATCTTATGATAGTAATATAATATATCTTCAGTGTGTATCTATATATATATATATATATATATATAGTGTATCTGTGATGGTAACTGAGGAGGGAAAAAATCTGATTGGTGGATGAATTTATTAATTGAAGAGAATCTAAAAACATGAAAAGTAACTTCAGTAAGACCTCTGGATCTGGCAACTTCAAATCCACAACAACAACTCCCCAAAAAGCATGCAAAAGCCGATCGTACCCATCTCACTAGATTCGCAATCTTCCACCTTTTTTTTTTGGTTTAATAAATAAACTTTTAAGAGCTACATTTAATTTAAGTTGTAAGTTTGGTTTATGAAGTTATGCCACTATTTACTCCATACTACATGTATTTGGTACAACAATTTTGGGATACGAAGGATCGAACTTCCCATCTCGAGGGACGAAATAGATACTAATTAAACTATGTTCATGTTGGCTTTAAATATTTTTAATAAAACTGTAAAACTCGATTACATTTATTTAGTGTCTCTATATAGATTCCTAAACTTTCGATTAAATTTAATAAACGGTTTAAATACTATTTCGATTAGTTCATTTATTAGTTTATGTATTTTTAAAACAGTCATTTTCTTTTTATAATAAAAAAGAGTCATTTTAGTCTCTATACTACTATTTTGTGTCAAAATTTTTGTAAATAGGAACTAAATTAGCTATCTTTTAAAAGTTCAGAACTAAAACAAGCATTTCAAAATTACGACTAAAACAAGCATTTCAAAATTACGACTAAAACGAATCAAAGTTAAAAATAAAGAAATTGAACATTTTTAGGAATGGGAGTGAACCAAAGTCAAAAGTGCATCGTGTATTTAGACCTCACTGTTTATGACACCAAATACCTCACATATCACTTAAACATTAAACCAAGTAAAAACCAAAATTTTATGCATGTTCTATTAGTAGAAGTACACAACAAAATCAAACACAACTCAAAAGTTCCAAGCATTAAAAACTCATATATTACACTACAGAAACTAAATAACTCTAAAAAGTTGATGAAAAACTTGTAATTTAACACTTTATTACAGAAATAAACACTAATAAGTGCAACGATGGAAAACTAAGCAAGAAGAATTACACTTTACGAAAGAGCATTTTTTTAGAAATTTTCCCCCATAAGAAAGCACAAAATATGGTCAGTGAAGAGTAATGAAAATGCAGAAGAAAAGGAAAAAGGAAAGGACGTAATTAATTAGAAAGCAGAGTCTAAAAAATAAAAGTTGGGTCAGTAGAGTTTGATTACTAGAGAGTACAGAGTCAGGTGGGTAGCTACTATCTGATTTGTCAGTCCCCACTTACACATCTCTTCTCTACGATTTAAAGTTCCCATCTTTGCCGTTTCAAACTAAATACTGATTCAGAATCTCATTCATTCATTCCATTCCAAATATTGGCGTCTGAAAAAGACTTGCTTTTGAATGAGCTTCCAAACCCCTCATTGATTGCCCAATTTCAAAGCTTATTCCGCTGCTTAATGCAATTGGTGTCGCGTATTGTTGCTGCTGCGGCTGCGGCTGTGGCTGTGGCTGCTGGACATAAACCCCGCCGTAAACCCCGCCCTCATTCTCGTTCGAAGATATGTTGGTGATGGCGGGGAGCATCATGTGTGGTCCGGGGTTTGGAGATTGCTGAAACGGCGACGATGATGGCACTGGAATGCTGTCGGGTTTGGAGACGACGGTGCTGAAGCTGCCCATGCTGTAGCCGAGGACCGACCAGTATTGATCGGATGGGTCTTGCTTGATGGGGACTGCGAAGCTTAATGTGGCAGTGGAGGACGCCGGGGAATGGTGGTCTCGTTCTTCGGTTGATCGGCTTCCACCGCTGTCGGAGGCAGCTGAGTCGGAGGCTGTCTTGGATTTGCTGCCCGACATCCCTCCGATGGGGAGGTTGCTGCTGGCGATGCTCTTGACGTCGTAGCGGCTGATGTCGAAGTTGGTCACCGCATTGAGGCCTCGGAATTTGATGGCTGCAATATCGTAGGCCTCTGCTGCTTCTTCCTGAGTGCCTAAAATATATTGTAACCTATGAGATTAAACTTTAGGATAAGTTAATTTAAGGCCTGTAATTTACATTTTGAAAGAAACACATGTTAAGAAAAAGAAGAAAATTTTAGCTTACTGAATGTTCCAAGATAGAGATCTTTGTTGCCAGCGACTCTACCAATTCTTGCTTGCCATCTACCATGTTGGTGGTGCCTGAAGAAAACGATGTCGTTTTAGCAAATGGCCAGAATATTATTTCAAATTTTAAAAGAAAAAAAATACCCAAAAGGTAAAATACCTTGTTACACCTCTGTAAATGGAAGCTCCTCTAGAAAAACCACTGCTTTTCCTATATAGACACCAAGAAGGAACAACATATAAAATTTAATTTTATTAAAAAAAAAACCAAATGCATTTGAGACCTTAATTAATTCTATTAATCAAGGGTTAACTTTTTCTATACCTTCTTAATGAAGCAACAAATTCTTGTCTGGTCATGTTCTTCATATCCTCCAGTTCTTTCTCGTAATCCGACACCTTTAATGATCAAAACCCAAAGAGATTTAAAAAATAAAAAGTTAATATAAGAAATTGGAAATAGAAAATTTTGAAACCCACCGGAAAGTTGGTGGTGGTGGTCGGACCCCAGTACTTGAGAGCGGCGAGATCATAAGCTCTGGCTGCTTTTTCTTCCTTGTCATAACCACCTAATCACAAAAAACACCATAATAATTTAAACAATCAATTAATGGATGAAGAAAAAGAGAAAAAAAATTTCAAAATTCAAAATTCAGAATTCAGAATAAATCTTTAACAGAATCTTGGCACTGTGCAAACCCAGACAGTCACTCTGTCTGATCTGCGCCTTTTTGATGGCTCAATCATACATTTTTATATTAAAAAATCAATAAATTAACCACAAAATAAAAGGGAAAAAAAAACTCACCCAAATAAACTGAGGAGAAATTAGGATCCATGGCGGCAACGATCGATCACGTCCGGAGAAAAAAAGAAGACCCAGATCAGAAAAAACCCTAATTTATTCATATTATAATTATAATTTTATTATTCTTCAAAGAAAGCCAATTGATTAGAAGAGCAGAAAAACAGCCTTTTTCTTGTTCCACATTTGGAAACCCTAAAAACAAATTTTCTTTTTTCGGTGTGCATTTGTAAAAAAACAAAGAAAGAAAAAGAAAAAGAAAAAGAAATGAAAAAAATTACCTTGTCTTCCTTTCCTACTCTGACCCTCTCTTCTGCAACTATTATCCCACAAATGAGCTTCGTATCGACCAGTCCATCGATGCCTAAACAAAACCAAGAACAATAAAAACGACATATTTATCAATTTATTATTTTTCTTAAAAATGGTTTTTTTTTTGGGCGTGGGGCGTTAAATGTTACCTTGTGACGCCGCGGTAGATGGAGGTGCGTTGGCCGAAGGAATCAACGGCCTTCTTGGGCGGAGGCGGGGGCGCGTCGGGCAGAGGCGGGGGCGGCGCGTGGGGATGGTGCAGTACATGTTGTTGTTGGGGAGGGTCCCCGCGGAGGAAACTGGCGGCGATGGTTTTGAGGTCAGAATCGCACGGTTGGGAAAAGGCGGCGGCGGCGGAGAAGTGAAAGGGCGGCGAGGGGCGGAGGAAGTCCTCGAGCTTGGGGGCGGCGGTGAAGATTTCGAGGTCAGTGGGATGGTGGTGGAAGAGAGAGAGATTACTGTTGTGAGAGAGAGAGGAGAAGGGAAGCCAATTTTGAGAACAAGAGTTGTCGTTGTTGGTGCTGTTGTTGTTCATGTTTTGTGTTTTGTTTAAAAGTTATGGTTTTTGGGGAATTATGGGCAGTGTTTGTGGGTGAGCGTGAAAGAGAGAGATTTGGCTTTGGAAATAGAGCAAAGGGAGAGAGTTTTGGAGTTGCACTATTTGTTGTTGGGGTTTAGAGAGAGAGAGAGAGAGAGAGGAAAATAGGGTTTGGGTTTGGGGTTTGAAGTTTATGAATGAAGGGATGGGATCCTTCAAGTCTACAACTACGATCAGAATTCAGAAATGACACACATATAGAGGAGAGGAGGAGGACTCCTTCAAGGAACTAAAGAGAGGGAGAGAGACACAGCCTCACCTTTGCACGCCCATCGAGGCTCTTACATAAAACAAAACAAAGCCATATATTATTAACTCTATTTATTACTAATTTGGTTTCTAACCACTTGTTCTCCTTTCTTATTTTTGTTTCTTCGTTTTTTAACGAAGAAAAATGGAGTGTATGGTGAACAAATAGGAAATAAGGACAAGAAAGAACAACCTTTTCTTGGTTGCTTCCAAAATGTATAATATGTTATAAAAAAAAATTAGAACACAATAGAAAATGAAAACAAGAAACAAGAAATCGAAATTATCATACGAGCCTTAAATGTTCGTCTCAATCGTGGACTTCAACATAGTTTAATGAGTTAAAAGTATTTTTGTTAATATGAACTTAGCTCAACTATTTGTAACTACGAGGTCATGCTTTTGAATCTTTCATCCTTATTTATTGTACTAAAGGAAAAAAAAATTGGTTAATGTATTTCTGTTCTACTAAGAAATTCGTAAATTCAAATCTCCACTGCACATATTGTACTAAAAAAAGTGAATTTTATGAAGAAGTATCGAATAAATATTTAATGATGTGCTTAGTAGCTTCTTAAAGTTTTTAAAAAGATATGTGAGAAGTTTTATTTTTGTATTCAATAAGTTTTTGATTTATGAGATATTTTTTAAAGTTTAATAACCTAATAAATGCAAAACTAATAGTTAAACAAACTCATTGAACACTAGAAGTTCACAATCTGTTAGACAACATTTCTCCCTAATATATTAAACATAATTCTCAAAATTTATATCGGTTAAACTTTAATTTAATATAGACCCTATTTGGAATTGGGATTCACAGCAAACACTTGATATTTTTGTCATCCTAAAAATGGATCTTTTTTTTTGTTTTTCTTGTTTAATTGAACTAAAACCCCATTTAATAATATGGGTTTGATTTATCCATGCAAATACGCGTACAAATTAATACGATCTCATCTCTCTTGCTGTAATAAATCAATAATTTTGAAGAATGATAAATATATTAATAATGTTAGAGAGAGAGAGAGGGGAGAGGGAGGGAGCAAAGTGGAAGGGCTTGATTGGGTTGAGAAAAC